TCAGAAAGTGAAAAACAATGTAAAAATATGCAACTAAAAATATGACTAGTCATTTTAAAAATTATATAACTAAACCAAACATTTCATAATATGCTGTTACATAGTAAAAAAGAGGAATAAAAAATAAAACTTTATAATATTCAATAAAGCAATGTTAATAAAAAATTTAACATTCTTTATTAGAAATTATTAAAATTTAAAATGAAATTATCTAATTTGACAAAACTTATGAAAATTCAATAATAAAACTTAAAAAAAAAATACTATTTCAATAAAATCAACAAAATATTTAAATATTAAATCTAAATTTAAACTATAATGCAAGAAGTTAATTATCTAAAGAATAGAGATTAAATTTTAAAATCATAAGGGCTTATGTTAAGATGCAATATAAAATTTACTGCTAAGAATGGTTTATTAGTCATTAAAACTTATACATAAATGCAGGAAAAGCATTTAGTAATATTAAGGAGGAAGTGTACAGATCTATGTCAATATCCTACAATGATAGTGAATTTTCACAATTATTTCCAACAAATAATATCCTGAAATTTTATCATCATGTTTATTACAAAAATAGATTAGGATCTCTGTTTAGAAATTAGATTCAAATCCAACTCATACCTATCTAGTGTCTACATAGAAAAGAAAAAAAAGTTAATAGGACATTAACATAACTCTGATAGATAACAGGAAGTAATTTTATTGAGGAAATTATATTGTAGAAATTAAAAAGAGTACTTTCATATTTTATTAACAAGATTTATTTTATTCCAAACAGTAAATTTTCAATTATTATATTTATTATTATATCATACTTTATATTAAAATAGAAAAATGCATAGGTATGGTAAGAAGAAACAAATTTTAATAGAACTGATAGAGCAACAAGTTCTATCCACTTGATTAAAGGTGTGTGTTAAATTAATTTAGGAAACAATTTTATTTAGATAAATAAAATGGCATGGTTTTAAATTTTCTACAGCAGCTTTTAAAATTTATAAAAAAGAACTCTCCACTTTTCAAAATTATATCTTGAAATATTTAAAGCTCAAGCTAAATAATGCAAAGTAAATATATATACATAGTGTATACTATATGTTTAGTATATGTAAAAACAACGAGTAAAATAAGATTATGAAATTCTTGATTTCTTATAAAGTATAAACAATGTTAATTTATAGACATGATTTGTTCATTGTTTTTATAAAAAAATAAACAAGCATTTATATTCATTCAAGGACAATACATTGAACAGGTTTCAGTCATCTTTTGAAATTCATACACACTCTTAATTGTTCAAATATTAACTTTTGATTAACATTAAAAATAATTTTAATATTAACCAATATTAATCAATAGGAAAAGAAGGATAAAAATCACATGACATATAATATAAATTTTTTTCTTATATTTTCCTAGTATGGTTTTGTAACTGTTATATAAATTGTTGAACTGGAACATCTTAAAATATATTTTTATGCCTCAATGAATTATCAGTGTTCATTATTACTTCACCTGAATATACTGTACTGTACTGTACATGAAAAAATACTTTAAATCATTTATGAATAAATTAATTTCATAAAAGTTAAAAAAGAAGAATATTTTAATTTTGTATATAAATTTTATCTATTCATACAAAATTGATATTTATTTTTAACTGTATTCATTAAATTCTAAAAAAATTATAATAAACAAAAATTATAATGTAAATGAAATTTTACACTTTAACAATGTAATACACACACACATTTTTTATACATACACATACATATTATATATGTATACAGAATGTATGTGTATAAGAAAATTTTGCATTTATTTATATTAGACATCTGGATAAATTTTGAAATAAAATAATGATAAATAAAAATGACTAATTGCCTATAAATTATTGTTTTAATTTTAAAGTCCTATTAATATTTAAACAAACAAATAACACTTAAAAAAGGAGAAGCTCTAATATAATGAATAAAAATAATATATAAGTCAAAATATACAGCAAATAATATACATTAGGAATAGTATCTAGTTAAGTTTCTTGCAAAATATACAAGTTTTAAGTAAAACAATTAGTATACTATTTTATAATAGTTCAATTTATGGAATAAAGCTGGATAAATAGTTCAATTTATGGAATAAAGCTGGAATAAAGCAAATATGGAATAATTCCATTAAAATTAAATTCCTGATATGAACAGAAGAAATTCTAATAAAACAAGATTTCATATTTTTTGAAAAAAAAAAATCCTTTGACAACAAATGAGCAGATTCTGATTTATTCTAATCCATTAACATAACCTTGATGCAAGAGACAGATATATATTTAATCCAAGGTACTGACCAAAATATTCATCTCTACTGCATGGTTGGATACCAGACTATTCACCTTTGCCACAGATGTCAATCTTTACTTTTTTAATATCTATATATATTAGTCAAATAAAAACAATTCAACAATACAAAGTATTGCTAAAGGATGACTTTTTAACATGATTTTATTATGTTGCAAGTTCATCGTGACACTTAAATCCATCTAAAGAATTCATCCTCATTTTGACGAGTACCATTTGTCATCCTATTAGTACAAAATTTGAATTGAGATTTGATCCAAGTTTAAATAAAAAAAAAAAAATATATATATATAAAATATCCATTTAACATGACAATTTTAAAAACCATGTTTAAATAGACGTTTTAATTATTAAATATAAACTTCAAGATACAATTAGAGATAATTAACTGATTTTCATAAATAAGACATTGGTTTTCGGTAACCGATAAACATTCTTTGTTGAAAAAAACCTTCTAATCTCATAACATATCTCTACCACTCGGAATCAATTTTCAAAGTCAACTAGACAGAGCAAAAGAAGAAAGATAATAATAGTAAAACACGATAGAGTTTAGATTAATATAAATTCCATTTCCAGAGTAATTTCAAACTTATAACCAACTTCAAAACCATTAATGTCTATTGAAATAACAACTTTCACATACTCTTATTTTGACCTGAAATTGACTACACGTCCATTTAGTTAAAAATTAATGTCTATCATCTTATGAAGTAGTATATTAACAGCATCCAAGAATTATCATTCTCTTTTTAATATTCAATATATAAAACAAAAGGGAGAAACATAATATACACTTAATTTGGTAAGGAGTTTCCTTTTAAAGGGTCAAATTATAACCTTGAACTCATTTTGTACGGGGTGATTCATCAGTTTACTAAATAGGAAATTATTAATATTAAAATTTAACGAGCATTAACTCCAAACTGTGTAAAAGTCAGTAAGTAAGTTTGAATTTTAAAAGAAATTCATTGAAAAATGTCAGTTACCTTTAAGCCTAACTGTAGAGTAAACAAGACAAAGCAAACGGTTGAAACTTTTATAATAATGAAAAAATCTTTACCAAACTTTACCTCTTCTCTGACATCTCGATATTATGCCGTCGATATGATAATGTATAGCACAATTTATCCGTTTTCGACCAACACATTCTTTCAACTTCCCATCAGATGTTCCTTTTAATACACCAAATCCAAACTGAGCTTTCTATTTTCCACCCTATCGACATCTGGCGAGCATTACATAAATTAAATATTTCTCCACCACTTCATCGTTATTAAGTGAATTCGATACGCTTTCTTATCGTATCGTTAAAATTTAATTAATCAACTATCCTAAAATTAGCTAAGTTAAAACCTTAAAAACGTATCGTGTTTTTTTTTTTATAATTATGAGATTATCGATAGATAAGATAATCCTCAACGTACAGTACAGTACACTACAGTACCTCGCTAAATCTTTGATGTAAACAATCGATGGTTGTCTATCTTTAAAAATATTTCGGCAGGGGGTCTTCCTGTTATCTCTCGGTGAATTAAAAAATTTGTTACTGATGTAATACTAGAATTTATTGACGACGTTACGCCACTATTCTATCCGTTTTAATTGTTATTTACCAATGAAACGTTCGATATTACATCATTGGATTCGCGTTAAATCGAAGTTCTCATTATAAATAAACTGCCGGTGTTAAAAACTTGTTTGAATGCTTTATGTTCACTATTTCATATTTTATTAACATACACATCAATATATCAATATTTTTATGTTTAATATTGAAATTAATTAGTATATGGTAACCTCTTCCATACTATTATCGTAAACGAAAAGTGTATTTCATTGTTTTTAAATATTCTTTTATTCTTAGTGAGATAGCTTAGGGTCTTGAACTAAGGTCTGAAAAATATTACATCTGAAAGGTTTACGGTTCCCGAGATAGAAGTCTTTACCAATATGTGGAGATCACGTCCCAAAAGATCAACTTTGTCCTATTGTGTATCAATGTAAGCATACATTTTCAAACTTAATGACTTGGAAAAACTTTTTGCTGTGAATTCAGTTGCATGAGTCCCATTTTTCAGCCTAGAATAGTTTTCCCTTAAATTGGGGATTAAAATCGATCGAGTACAACTTTAATAGCTTAAAGCTCCTAGTGCAAATATCCTTATACTCTATTGGTATTAATTTCCTTTGTATTTTCTTTTAAAAAATAAATACATATTAATTTTAATTATATGAAAATAATCGCACAATATTTTATTATAACCGCATTATGTATCTTATTACAAATTTCTATACTACACGTGAAAAAAAGATAAGATTGCTATTGTATATTCGAATATTAGTGGCGAAGGGGAATCTCTGTATTGTCAGCATCCAAAAAGCCAGATTCGCGCATGCGTTTTACAGAGCACCAACCTCACCCGGTTTAGCTGGTGGAAGCCTACAACCTCGGGTGGCTGCTGCACGTATAACGCATCCAATTCTATCCAGGACCGGTTCCGGGCCGTTAGCCGCCCGCCTGCTAGATATTTGGCCGCCCTCGCCCGATTACGCACTTCCACAGGTATCATAGATGTTAATGATATAGAATTCTTGACTCCTTTTGACCAATCTATAAACCCCTGTTTGCCTCCACCTCAAATGACTGATGAAGCACACGAAAGCAATATTATTATATATACTGATGGTTCCAAAATAAATAGCTATGTTGGATGCGCCTTTGTAGCATATGCACAGAATCAGGAAATTTATAGTCAAGTGTTCCGACTTGGAGAATTATCTACTATATTTCAGGCAGAAATGTTTGCTATTTTAATGGCTGTTACCTGGACTAATGATACCTATAATGACTGTTATATAACAATAATTAGTGATAGTGCCTCCTCCTTGGCTACACTTCATAATAATGAACTTCATCCTATATCTACCAAAATCAAACATGTGGTCTGTACATCTAATAATATGTACACTTTTCAGTGGACAATGGCCCACCATGGAACTGTCGGAAATGAGCGGGCAGACTTTTTAGCAAAAACCGCTGCTAGTAACACATGTCTCCCTGTCTCGTATAATAAAATAAGCATGAATGTAGTGAAAAGAATCTTATGGCTGGAACTTATAAATGAGTGGCAAGGCAGATGGAATGAATGTGAAGGATCCAACACATATAGATTTCTTCCAAGTATCGAAGAAACTTATAAATTTAAATGGATTAAACCAAATCACTGGATAACTCAATTTCTCACAAACCATGGGAAATTTGCCAGTTACTTCGCCAGGTTTTCTGGACTTAATACAAATTTATGCCCTATATGTCAAATCGAAGACGGAAACGTACACTATATTTTCCATTGTCCGATACTTGAAAGGGAACGAAATGAAATTCAAAATATACTACACCAACAAGGCATATCTTGGCCATGTGATTTACCTAATCTTATTAATACAAAGGAGAACTTTTTCTATTTTAACAACTTAACCAAAAGATATGGCAAACTTACTACCATTAGGGCATAACTTCCAGTTACTCTGAAAGCCTAGTGCATCTATTAATTCGAATATTCTTTTACTATCTGTTAATGCAGTGCATTTTCTACTAACTTTTATACAACTCTTGTTATGCTTTTAAATATTTATTATTAAATCACAGGTGTTGAGCATCCTTCTGCTGATTTTGTTCCAAAGTTTTGTTCCATGGTTTTAAAGAAGGCCTTGAATTTGGTCAGTATTAGGTTCTCAATTGAACGGCTGAGATTTTGCACTACTTTCTCAT